ATCTGCAAATAACCCCTGCCTGAAGAGCTTTTGGACTATGGCCCCACTCCTGTAACCTGGAGCTACTTGGTTGTCCTGTGGACAGGTTACAGACCTGGGGCTTCACACATGGGGTGAAGAATGGGGGAAGGATGCTTGGTTGTCCTGTCTGTATGAGCAGGGAGTCTTGGGAATTAAATCCCTTGTCCCAGATCACACAGGAAATCTGTGGCTGACCCTGAGGTGGAAGCCAGATATCCTGTGTGGTACCCTCATCCCCTGGCCCATCCATCCATCCTTGCTCCCCCATGTCATATTGGCCTCCAGCGCAGAAACTTCTAACCGAGGAATTTTCCATTGAGTTCTGCTGCTGATGAGTTTCTTTCTCACCAATAGGTGGAAACTGACAGCCCGGTTTCTCAGGTGACACAAGGAACGGTTCTGCCATCCCAAATGAGGCAGGAAAAACATCACGCAGAACAAGGAATTTTCCATAAGAAACTGTACCATAGCAACTGAAAAAGACGTTGAAGCACATTATACTTTCTCATCTTGTTGCAACCTGTGCTTTGATGCAACAGGACATCAGAAAAGTGAAGACTTGGGTTTTTTGTTTTTTCTTTTCCTCACTTATTTCTTTGGCCAGGAGAGTGATTGCTTTAACTGCTGCTGGTTGATCATAATGAATTTATTGCAAAATTGTGTAACCTTTCCACATCCGTCTTCAAAGTCTGCCAGAGCCTAAGTTCTGGCATGCATTGTTATGCTATAGCTGGGGAGGGTGAGGGGACTACATCTGCGAACTTCCATAAGAGATCACAAGCTTCTGAAATTGTAGGTTAACTAACTAAATAGGATGCAGAAATATTTGCAACAGGCTGACAGCTGTGCAATATGTGGCATTAAAATAAAGTTGAGTCACTAAGAAGTAGTGATATAGAAGCTAGCAAAAGTTTCTGTCTTTTTTTCTAAATATATCCCAAATATGATTGTCTACTCTAACAGAAAGAAAATCACTATGCAGAGACAAGTGGCTTGAGTCATTGGTTTGGATATGGACAAAGTCTTGCTATATTAGGCATAGTCTTTATTTAAAATGTTGCATAAAATCTTTAAGTGAAGTCTTTGCGGGGCAGATGTTTGTCTTGTTCTTGATCAACTGTAAAAGGCTATTCAGAATGAAGAAATCTAAATTAACAGGACCTAAAATGTTTAAGTGAGAAAATGGGGAAATCTGATTAGCAGTACTAATCAACTGAGGTCTGGAGATTCCTCTTCTTTTCAACCGGAGCAGTTTAGTCATCTTCCTTTTCCTTTTTTTTTTTTTCAGAGTTCATGCTGTACCCTGCCCATATTTTATTTCTTCACTGTGTTCCTTCTCAGTAAGCTCCACAGTGTGGATCATCCTCTCTGCATATATATATATCTGCAGATATGAGTTACTAGGTGGAGAGTTGCAGCATGTAGCAAGCACTTTTTCTGTGTATGTACTGTCTTTTTGTTCAAACTCACAACCTGTCCAATATCTGAGGTATTTCTGAGGCAAGATGTCCCTTTTTTCTGTGAGACTTCTTGTTTCAGGTTCTCCTCAGTGTCAGTGACAAGTCTGTCACTGCTTTGGGAAAGTTATATCAGAATCCTGCAGAGCTGGACTTGAACTAAAAGCACTGTACTGGAGCAGGAGTTGTCATAGCTAACTGTGACTGTCTTTAACTAGGGCTTCCAGCAAGGTCTACAGGTGAAAGCACAGTACTTTTTGTACATTAGCAGGGATAATACAGGTTTTCAAACCACTTGCTCCTAGCTACTGTCCTAGCTTTCAACTTGGTTAATTATGGGCAAAAAACCTTTTAAAATAGTATCAAGAAGAAATTTTTCCTGATGATGTTTCTCAGATGCTTAGCTAGAATAGCCCTCATTAGGATGCAATTTTCCACTTTCTTTAGTTTCCACATCAACTGGCATTTCGAATACCTACTTGCCACAATATGAAGGCAAGTGATTCCAGTATCTCCTGTTCAGAAATCTTTTTTTATTTACATCTATGAAGGTGTGGAAAGGGAGCTACTGCAAGTAGTTTTGAAGTGTTCGTTGTGGTATGTTAATCCCTGTGAGCCTGTTTATTTTTGTGCAGGATAGTACATAAAATACTATAAACTAGCAACATACAGAGTGGAATAACCAAAGAATAAGGGCACTTAGCTAGCAGCAGACCTCATGTTTTCTTTTGTTCATGGCAAGTCTTTTTTCTGTGTATGTCTGTGTTTTAAATTAGGGCATGCTGTGGTTTTCTTAACTGTTTTCTTAGCAGCTTCTCTTTATGACTGTTAATCCAGAAGAACTCCACTCACTTTCCCGGCTCACATTTTGTGAGTGAGGATTACTTTCATGACATACAAGACAACCCTATATTCTTTTTTTGAGTGTGTTATAATATACTTTATGGAGGCCAGAATCTGTAAAATTACAAGGAAATATTTATTGAAGCCAAATCCATATCTGAGGAGTTTCCACTTGAGCATTTGAAATTAAGAAAGTGATGGCAGCAAGGAGTTTGTGCCATTGTTTTCAAAATATACCAAATAAGAAGCTTGGCAAATACGTCACTCTGCACCTTATAGCTTTGTGACACTGTTCAAATAGAAAGTAATTAATATTTTAAAAAATCCCCACCACTATTATGGAATGCTAGATATGCATTTCTAGCCTTATTTTCTAGGTAGGGGAAACAATCAGAAAGGGATTCACTTGCCAGAAGCTCATAATTGTTTGCCAAAGGGCTGATGACAAATACCTTTTCGTCTATGTGTGCGTGTCTAGGTTTCAGAAGCAAACGATGTTGCCTCTGTGTAGTTTGTAAGGAAAAATGCAAGTATCAGTAGTGGTTGTTTTTGCAGTTAGAGCTTGTTATATTCTTGGAACATGTGGCTGAATTACAGTTCTCTTACTGAAGAAAATGTTACAAGGGAAGAATAAATGTGACAAGCAATGGTGAAAACAACACACTAACCTATAAGTTAGTTGACAGTTTTACGTGGGAAAACACTGGAAAGACTACCCAACAAGTACTGACATTGTTTATAAACAATTGTTACTTTCTGACCCTTCCTCTTCTATTTAAAATTCTGACCAGAAGGACAGGCTAGAAATAGAGTCCGGGAAACTGCTTGAGGGCCATTTTGTGGATGTTGGACTATCAAAAGGCAAATTATCCCTCCAGTTTCGCAACAGACTTCAGACAGGTCTCTCCTAAAAGCAGGTCTGTGCGTGCCCTCCTGCTGGTGGTGGTCTTGCAGGGGACAGTAATTAATAAACACTGCTTGTAAAGTGGTCTGTTAATGTACCATGGTAACGTCTTGTCTGTAGGGTTAATAATAATGCTTTGTGTATCTCTGTTTTTTAGCTAAGTGCAGACTGGGTGCGTACCAAAGGACAACACCCATTTCCTTAGCTGCAACTGTCAGTTCCAGCAACTTGCGGCAAAAATCTAGCTGTTCCACTAGTAACAATAAAAATTATGGCAATTTTTAATATTTCCGTTACTGATAAGCACACCAGGAAGTTGCCATTCAGTTCAACAAATGTAGCAGCTGTTTGTGTTGGTTACTGCTGCTCAAAATGTTTCCCAAGTACATCATTATGTAGGCATGGTGTTTATTGCTCTGGGAGAGAACTTGAACTTCAGAAGGAAGGGGAGAAAAACCCTACATTTTGTCTATCTTAGTTCTGTGGAGACTACAGTTGCTGTAAATATCATGGTGTACAGTAGATGGAACAAAACAGTTCTGGTTTTTAAGAGCAATAGTCATAGAGATGGTTGGTGAGAAAAGAACTTTTCTGCTCCATGCATTTTTGGTGTCTTGCAGAGACTGCCAGAATTACATTTGCATTCATTTCAGTCTGCAACAAGTACTGAAGAGTATTCAACTGAAAGTACTTCCCAAATATGAGGAGCACAGGGGAGAAAGAGAACTATGTTTTATAGTGACAGCTATTAAGCTTTTACAGAATATCATATATATGTACTAGCTATCAACATAAAATTAACTGGTACTAATTGGTCAGAGCTGACAGCTCAATCTGCTTGTGAGTGTAATACTCTTCTTTAGGACACATTCATTATACTGACATCGTATGTCAGATTCTGAATAAAGTTCATTCAGCCATTTCTGCCGTTCTTGTTTGCCCTGGTATGTATATGTGCTGCCATCAGCAAGAGTTTATGTCTCAGCAAAGACTGGGTCTGTGTGCTTTGAGAAATACGTGTCTCAGTTATCTGCCCAGTGGCCACTTCTCCAGCAACAGCGGGACTGTGGGAGGGCATCCTTTGATTGAATCATGCCTGGTGTTTTCTTCATTCTTGGAAACTGACTGGAACAAAATGTTCAAAGCTCTTTCTTCCTCTCTTTCCTCTTTTTTTTTCCCCTCTCTCTTTTTGTTTTTCAGTTCCATGCCTCAAAAGGCTGTAACTGGGTTCATTATTGTGTGATAAATCAGCAGTAAACTTCTATGCATTTTGCTTCATTTGGGCAGCTCCTGTTCTTTAGTGACAGCTGCTTGGCTCAGCAGACTGTAATTATCAAGTCAAAACCAAGATGCTTTTAGGTAGTGAAAACATATTGGCAGAGTCTGAACTTGTCCTAAACTTCGTCATGGGTCACAGCTTTTAAAGATACCATTTGTTGTTGTTTTGTCACTGTTGGTACAGGGGGTTTGACAGTTATCACACTGGACCATGTGGGAAGCTGTTATCCTAAAGGAGTACAGGTCTTTCTTTTTCATTAGATGCCGATATACTGTGTAGTTAACTTTTGATTAATGTATCTGTGTTCATTCTTTTTCTCTAAAATAAAGTTTTATTGATATGTGGGAGGGGATTTATTGGGATTTTACAAATAAGCCTTTATTTAAACAATATCTGAAGGAAGCTTTGCCCAGAAACAGATGTATGGGTTTGTTGTCCATGGTGGAACCAAGGCACTCTCTGATGCTACTTTAAACGTACCTCCATTTGACAGACCGGCTACATCTGTGACTGATGCCTCACTGCCCATGGCCATGGAAACGTACAGGCATGGCATTGGCTCTGGTCTGCTAAAGGCCAAGGGGCCCTGGGCTGCGTGTCGTGTAGACCAGTTGCAAGGGGCTATACATAGTGGAGACTTCTGCTCCCTCACCAAACTTGTTTTGGCAAAGAAAACGTATTCCTCTTCATTTGTCTGAAATGTAGAGAAACATAATTTCAGCTGACAGATAACACAATCCAGAGCTCAAGTGAGTGGAAGGAGATTTCTCATATTCTTTGCTAGATGTGTTAGCTTTCCTGTTATGTGAAAATAACATGCAAATCCAAGAGAGGAGAAGAGAAAATACATGACTTTCTTTTGCAAGAGAAATTACCTGTAAAGTCCTCCTGTTCCCATTGACAAGTCACAGGTTTTCTTTTCTCTATATATTATGAGGCTGGGTTTTCCATCAGGACACTTAGAATAGGCACTCATCTTGCTGCTATTTAAAAAGCATTTAAAGTGTTCTCAAATCTGGCTGGGCTGTAGTTTAGTGTAATTTAGAGAGCAGTTCCAAGTAGGAGCACCATTGTTTGCATAAGCAAATCTCAATGCAAGGAGCATGGCACAGTCTCATTTGCATCCTTCCCTGGGATTTGGGGGGGTTGTCAGACCTTGAAAAATGATGAGAAGTCACCCAGACTGTAAAAACCTCATGACCTTTACACATGGAATAATTTGTGTTGTATAAACATACACTTTATGGTATTAGTACTTTGGAGGACAGAAGAACCAGGATACCAGAGGAGGTAATGTGTGGTCTGTAGTAAGCAGATTTTTTCAAGCTTGAAAAGATAAGCACGTGTTATGTTAATGTGGAAACAGAGAAAGATTTTTTTTTTTCCCAGTGCATTTGCAACAAGACAAAACAAAAGCCATCTTTACTTTGCAATTTTTGAGGATCCTAAAAAAGCCTCACCATGTTCAGTCTTGCAAACCCTTCATGACTTCATTTGGTTGACCTATAAGTAAGAACTTGCAAGTCTTCTATTTGAAGCTAGTACAATATAATAATCTTTTGACTGCGTTGTGGCTGGCGTAGAGGTATCTGTCACAGCCCAGGGATAAAGATGAATTTTCTGGGTATGCCTTGCACTCGTGTGCTGCCAATTACATCATAACATTGGAATTCTGAAACAGTAGCAGAGGCCAACGGGGAAATGCCCAATAGGGACATAAGGCTCTGTATATGGCATGCCCTAGCAGAAAGGTGTGCCGACCTGTCAGTGGAACAAAAGCAGAACAAGTGCCTCACCATGGAAGAAGGCTGAAATGCTGAAGGAGAGCAAGTCTGTAAAAGGGAGTAGCCGCTTTTTCAGGTTCGTTCATCTTTTATAATGTTTTGGTCATCTCTCCTGTCACATGGGGCTGTGGGACAGTATAATTGTTAGTGCTAACCTCTTCTGTGTTCCCAGAAGACAGAGGGCAAACTGAGGTTCTTTCCTTGTCAGTGCATAGGAAGACTTGAGACTTGTTTTCTCTTTTGTCTGGTGATTTTGTTTTTCAGTGAATAATGTGGGAATCCAATCAAAGGGTGAGGAAAGTTTCATATTTTGTTTGTTTGCAATGTCCAGTGCCTTTATGTGTCATTTTTGGGTCCTCCTCAGACACAGACAAACCCAAAACTTTTCTCTGTGTTTATAGTCCACTTATGGCAAAACTCAGGGAAGGAGGTGGTACACACAGAATCATAAGAGCAAATAACCATGTAGCAGCAAAGCCTTAACTGTATGCAGTTAAGGAAGCGGGCAGAGACTTAACCTTCTGCTTAGGAGTTTACCTCAGTTGGCCCAAAGAAAGCAAACTATAAGGTAAAAAATGCATAAGATTCAGCTTTCCTCACAGAAAGCCACATAGTGTACTGCAGCCTGATAGAACTGTAAAGGAAAAAAAATATTAGGAAAAGGGTAAATAATATGCTCAGAAGTGATCTATAAAAGACTGAGTTCTGTCATGTTCATGTGATGTTTTCTCTAATGTTCCCTTTTCTTTCTATGCATAATTAGCTGCAACAGGGCAGACCTAGCCATCTAGCATGGCTGATCAGATGCTATGCTATCTTTCAGTAAAATAGCTCATCAAAAGGTAAAGACTGGATATGTGCTTAAGTTTTATATAAGGGGATAAAATTTGGGACTGTGAGCCAAGAGTATGGTTTATTCCTTCACAGGCTTGTAAGCTCCATTTACTTTTCATGTTTCTTTTTGAAAGGCCACCAGTAAAAAGCTTCCTCATGTTGAGGTACAACATTATTTCCTTTTCCTTTTAAAATAAGAAGACAAAAAGCAAAGCAGAGAAAAGTACATCAAAACCAGAGCAATCTCCTTTGAATTTCACCTTTATACCCACTTCCACCAGGCTTGAATATGACTCAGTCTCTGAATGTAAGTTTCTTTTAGGTCCTACTTCTCAGACTGGTGTCCTGGGATGCTTGTACTGGGCTGTGTGTATTTCTGAAAACAGAGATAGAAAAGAGTTAATATTTTGAAGACAGCATTTTTATTAGCCCTTCCCCCTCTGCAAGTGTCTATTATATGAGACATGCTACATGGTACTCCCCCATCCTTTGCCGAGTACTTCTGTTTCTATAGCAAAGATCTCTAAAGGTTAGTATCATGCAGTTCATCATCTGAATTAAGAGAAGGGTGTTGATGGTGAGATCATAGTCTCCATGGAAGATGGGCCAGATTTGCCGCTGTAAAATAATACCAGCAGAGGTTTTATACAATAGCCTTTAAGTTGTACAATCATTAATCGTTTGGAAGAAGTGCATTGAGATTAGCATTTACAAATTAAGTGCATACATATCTGCAAAGGCAGTGTTTTGCCAAAATTCAAATACAGTTTTCTGCTTAAAGCAGATTTAATATACTGTGCTGAAAACCTTTTAGGAGGCTGGAAGCAGCATAGAAAGAGAAATGCAGGGTGATTAATACCTGCAACATATTCTGAAAATAGAGGGCCAAATCTAGCTTTCAGTTATTCTGATATATTCCAATTGTTTTAACATGTAAAAGATCATTTTTAGGTTGCTAAGGCTTGAAGGCCTTGTGTATCTTAGTTTTAGTATGCAAGGACAAACTTATGTATGGGTAAACTGTCAATTAATTATTATTTTTTTTCCCAAAGGGTGAATTTAGCTCATAAGGCTCATGCATTTAAAACAATGATAGCATTTTTATTGTAATTTATTCTTAAGTAATGTTTATTTGTGTGTAAGGGTCTAACCAAGTATGGCCTTATGTCAAGCTGAGAGAATGTTGGCCAAATAAACCAAATCAATTACAGTAAAAAAAAGAGTAAAATCAAAGACCTCACCAGAAATCAATTATTAACCCCAAAAGATAGCAAACACTTGAGTTTCAGCCAAGTGAGAAGCGCCATGCAAGCTATAGCAAAATGAGTTTACAACAGGTAAGAGCTATGGTGTTCCTGCTGCTGGGGGCAGTTGGGAGAGGGATGGGCATCTTTCAAGGACCTGCAGCACTGTGTTACATAAGGAAGCCTAATTCTAACCCAGAAAGACAGAAATTCTGGGGTTTAAAGTATAGATCCTGTGAGGATTTAAGTTGTAAAAGAAGCAACTGAAAGGTTAAGCTGCAGCAATCACAGATTTATTTGATTTTTCATCAGATGTATCTCCAGGCAAGTAAGTGCCTGGGAATTATGCCATTCCTGTGATAATCAGTGGTTTGCCTTGCATAAATGCCTTCAGTTCTTCCTGGAAGATCACTTCCTATTTAATTTGACCATTAAATATCTCCTTAAGGTCCACTTAGACTCTGATGCCTATGAAAACCCTGACAAATCACTGATGGCCGCTCAAGGATAACTGTTTTACAACTGCTGAATTAAACTGGGTTTTTTTTCAAAGAAGCAAAAAATCAAAATGCTTCAGAAGCTGTATTTGCACAGGTAATGTGGCAAGGACCAAGTGCCTTTCTGGCCTCATTCTGGATCCTCCATACTCAGTTTTCTATAGCCTGTACCAGGACCTTTCATTTAGAGTAGAGTACCTGGGGAGCACGTGTAAACATGCTGTTTATTTGTTTGTGCCTACAACGTCTGGGCACCAGTCTTGCATGAGCATTTGTTGCTGCTATATGGTAAAAATTAAACAGCAATAGCACTACACAAAAATATATATAGAATAATAAGTAATGAATGTTGTATGTGATAAATACTTCAAATAATCAGAAATATGCAACTGAGCTGGCCTACTTCTGGACCCAGGCAAGGCTGACAAGTTAAAAGGTTATAAAAGGTTACCAAAAAAAAAAAAGGCATTGTTATTGACTTTTATTGCCATGTTAGAGAGTAGATACTTCAACGTGCCAAAATTTCTATTCTGGCAATAGCTTGTAGAAACTGTAGAGGTGCTGCTAGTGCATAACCAGATGGCCATCAGTCTAGACTTGCTCTCTGCTCTTCACAGTGATTTTGTATCCTTCTGCTATGGGACTCCATCAGAAATTCCACCCTCCCTTTTATGTGGATGAGAAATGCTGTACAAATTTGGAATACTATCTAAACAATCACTTGGCCATTTACATGTTTTTTCTAGCAAGATCTTAGAAATATTTGAGTCTTCACAATTGCAATAGAAATAGTGGGAAAAGAAATTAAGAAACCTGCAAAATGTCTTTCTAAGGCACCTCATGTCACATCACAAACTGAGTCTTTTCTATGACTGCTTTTTTCTTATGCAACTGTGAGTATGTTTATAATATTAGCCTGCCTGTTTGCTTGGCATCTTGAAGGTCTTCATTCTCTTCTCAGAGTCCCGACACAACAAATTTCATCAGGACTGTTCCACATGTATACTGCTAGCAAAATTTTGGACAGTATTCTCAAAAGCAGACTCAAGAGATGATTTAAGTGGGCATGCAACACAACAGGATTTTCTAGTGTTGGTAGTTCAATGAGTGGTGATGGTGGAGCCTGTCTGCTGTGGCTCTTAGCGTCCGTCAAGCAGTGAGACTGTGTTTCAGCCTCCCCCTAAATCTTCTCTGCTGTTCTCATGAGGCATGTGAGAACACATTTGAGACTTACAGCACTTATGGTGTTGTAATTGGGTGAGGTGTTCTAGATGAGACACTGTCATGCATACCACATAACTGTGTAATTTTTGTGCTCTTTAGGAAACCCAGCCTTAAAAGGACTGGCATAATATATGGATGTGCAGAGATACAAGGAGCTGATTTTATGTTTTTATCACAACTCTGTCGAGAGAGAAAGACACAAAGAATGTGCCTTCCAGTTAGGAAAAACAACTGGAAACAACTTATTTTAAAAGGTTGTTGAAAATATTCCAGAGAAAAGTCATGAAAACAACTGGAGAGGATGTTTTCCTGGGAGGAGGGACTTCTGTCTCTTTGCCTCTCCAAGAAGAGTAAGAAGAGTGTTGATTATGTGTGTTTAATACCGGATCTTAAAAGGCTGCTAAACTATGAGAGAAAGTCTCCTGGAGCCCAAGGGAGGTGCAAGCCAGACAAGTTAATGATTAAGAGACAAAGAAAAAGGCATGCATTTTTATTAGCAATGAAAATGATTACACATTAAAACAAGTGGATAGTTCAGACTTTCAAATCAAGACTGGCACAGTCACTTTCTGGAGGCAGTCTTCTGGTAAGCACAAGTCATTTAGCTCAGTACTATGCTCTGCGCAGTGTAGAAGGTCAGCTTAGGTAGTGTAATGGTCACATATGGGGGTAAAATGTTAAGACCTATTGTTTGTGACCAAGGGGAAACACTTTTACTCTGTCACATTGAATTTTTTAATTATGGGCAGAAAGTTTTTAATAATTTATATGCTAAGTATCCTGCTGTCCATGGCTGGATTTAGTCAATCCAACTCAGTGATTTCAATGTGGTGAGGTGATCCTGAGTTGCCTGTTCTGCTGGGACCCATTCCAGAAAGTGGTGTGACCCTCTCTGTTCACCCTCATCATCAAAGATAGGTTACCTGGGGAGTGCAGTCTTGTGCCTGCAGATATGTTTTGCAGGATAAGGCTGATGCATCATTTTCAGTGTGACATGATGTTTCCTAGCGAGTGAAATACCTAGAAGTCCAACTCTCTTGGTGGGATGTCTCTGTGACCTTGAAATGAGAAGAGAGACTTTTTCTGCAGTGTGCTCCTTATTGCCTTCTGATTCCCTGCATTCATCCATGGGAGCTGCCTGCTTCTAAACGTACAGCTGTGTGGTTATTATTTAACACCACAGCCTCTTTTCAGCATTTACCCTTCTTTAATTTGTTGTCTTGCTTCATATTCTATATTTCATTTCTCTCTGAAGTGTTTCAAGTCAGCTTTTAGCTTAATGGAACATATTTTTTGCAGTAATCAGTCAAGATTTTAAACCAGAGATGATATACCCCTAAAAGTATGAATAGCAGGTCAAGTGCAATTTCCATTTAGAATCAAAAGGAGGAAAATATATAGCTGCCATTTGAATGTTTGTCTGTGTTTGCCTATGAGACAATGTCGTGAGATGACTTCTTTGTTTATTCCACCTCTTTGGCCAAATTCTGCTTTGTTTCTTCAGTGTAAATCCAGGATAATCTCTTGAATGTCAGCAGAGAGAATTTGCTTTATCCTGACACTAACTGAAATCAGATTTTGACCTGAATTTTCCAGTGCATCTGCTGCTGCAATATCCTCCTACTGAAGATGGTTTCATTATGGCTGGGGCCCTGAGTTTGCTAAATAGATCTTTTCCTTAGCTCATATAACCATCACATCTTATGTGTTTGATTTACTTACATTGTTCTTACATTTAATCTCTGCCCATTTAGTCATATTTACTGTCATTTTTATTTGTTTAGTTACACAATGCAGCTCAAAAAGGTTACAGAGGTGGATAGAGCGTAACAAGTTAAAATGCATTCTGTGCAGACCTCTTCTGCACCTTTCTGTGTCTCAGTTTTGACAGTTTGGTTTACAGGGGGGATTGTTCAGTCAAATGCTTGGCTTATATAAAAGTATTTAACAACAACCGCAAGTGTACTGCAGAGAAGTATTTATATATTTTTTATTTATTTTTACTCTATTGTCCTTCAGGAGCTTTACAAAACCCCCCTTTGTACTGCTAGGGCCAACACTTGGGTAGGATGGGCTCAAAATGGAGAGGACCCACACAAAATTCAGACTCAGTTCATCACTGAGTCTTTGACAGCTGTGGAGAGAACCAAGTGAAAAACTGCCTTTACTGGAATTTTCCTACTGATGCCAGTAGGACAGGTTCTCAGCCCCGTAACCTGTCTCTAGCATTTGTGTACTTTTTAAGATGGTAATACTGGTAACATTGAACTGAACTTTTCTTTCTGGGAAAGGAAGAGAGGCATTCTTCTGGCACTACTGGTAAAGCAGAGGGTAAGAGAATTCACCAAGAGACAGGGTTGGATGACAAGTTTTTCAGGGGATAGGAACTAGCCCTCGTTTAATAGCAATTA